TTCCCTACATGCGGGTCTCTGTGTCCAAATTTCCACTTTTTATAAGCATACCAGTCCTATTGTATTAGGACCCAACGTAATGACCTCCTTTTAATGTGATTATCTCTGTAAAGACCCTAGCACCAAATGCCACACAATCGCACTGGGGATTAAGACTTCAACATATAAATCATTCTATTCTATTCTATTTTGCCGTGCGGCTTGTGGGATCTTAGTTCCCCGACCAGGAATTGAACTCAGGCCACCACAGTGAAAGCACCTAGTCCTGAACACTGGACCACCAGGGAATTCCCAACGTATAAATTTTAGAGGGACATAGTTCAGCCCATAACAGCAGTTCAGATTTTTATGTGAAATACCTCTATCTTTAGATATTAGCCCAATTTTTATCTAAAACATTGTGCAGACTAAGCAAAATTGATCTCAGGGCAGAATCAAGCCTTCCCAGGCCCACTCGTTGCACGTGCTCTTGAGGGGTAGCGGGTGGCTGGTCCAACCCAGAGGCGCTCTCTGCCCTGAGCCAGAGTTGGCAGCTTCAACAGCAGGAGTCTTCAAACTGTGGCCCCCAGGCCAGGAGCAGCAGTATCAGCTGGGAGCTTGTTAGAAATGCACATTCTAAGGCCCCACCCCAGACCTGCCAAATCTGCATTTTACCAGGCCCTCCAGGAGAGTAGGGTGCATGGTACTGTTTGCGTGCCTCCGCCTCACATCACTAGGACCACCTGAAGGACCGGCTAAGGTGAGAGAAGAGCACTGGTGTCATCAAGTGCAACTAGCAATTTTGGGTTTCCCACCTCCCGGTATTTATTTATCAGGAGGGTCTGAGAGGCCTCCACCTCCTCTGTCAATACGAATCCTTTCCATTGATGAGGTATTTGACAGTTTCCACTCACACGCCTCCCTTTCTGAGCATCTCAACAGCCCAGTGAGCTGAGTACTGCAGAGGCTTCTGTCCTTTTACAGATGAGGAAGTGGGGTTTCAGAGCAAGAGGAGGATGCCTGTGAGATCCCGCAGCCAAAAGGACGCCAAGCTCCCCAAGTCTTCCTCTCCCCATCCTTCGGTCCCCGTTCAGGAAAACCTCTCCCAGAGGACCAACCTCTCGTGGCTTCCGAGGCAGAAGTTGGTAGGGTACGGGAGTGATCTGGCTCCCAGCTGGGTTTAGTTTGGCTCCTAGGGTGTTGATTTTTAAAAAATCAGATTCCTTTCATCAGTTGTCAATATTTTAAAAATCAGGAAATTTCACATAAAATAAGGATTGCTACCTTCTCTTTTTTTTTTTTTTTTTTTTTTTT